GTGTAGACGTGTACTAGCTTGTCGTCTCCACCAACAGCAACAGTAGAACCGTGCGCTGCGATTGAGGTAGGGGCGAATTTGACCGGTAACGAGCTGACCTGGGCCCCCTTGGAGTATACTGCGATGGCATCGGTAGAAGGAATCAGCACGGTGCTCGATGTCGCGGCAACGCCCTTGGGTTGGAACTTGAGATCGTGTGCCTCGCCAGTGAAGATCTTGTCCGGAACGGACATGGAGCGTAATGTGTCGTCCCATCCAACACTGTACAGCTCCGCCTCATTGTTGCTGTCGGAAGTCGTGATGCCAGCCACGTAGCTCGAATGCGCTGCGCCTTCGACCTTGTCAGCCAATCCAGTCGTGGTGTCCCATGCGAGGACACGGCCGTCATAACTTCCCGTGGCGAAAGTAGATCCCGCGATCGCAGCCGAAGTAATGTTCTTGGAGTGGCCCCGGATGATGCGCGTTGGCTTTGGATTGCCGTCGACGAGGTAGTTCAGGTTTCCTTCGAGATCCACACTGACGATCAGACCATCACTGCGGCCGGTGGGCCATACTACACCGACCTGCTGATCGGGTATGCTAGCGACGCCTTCCTCGCCCATCCTCCAGGTCTGAATGTTTTTGCCTGCTTCCGGGTCCCATATCCGGACCGTCTGGTCCGCACTGGCTGTGACGAACTTCTTTGAGTCCTTGGACCACGACACGCCGAAGATGCTGCCAGTATGTACACCCTCGCCAATCTGTCCCTTTGCCTCGCCGGTCTTGCCATCGTATAGCCATATGCGCTTGTCGGCGCCGACGCTTGCGAATACGGAACCGTCCGGGGAGAAGGCGGTGCCGAAGACGAAGCGGTTGTGCTGTCCTCTCAGACTGGTGTTGAATTTGAAGGGGGCGCCGTGGTAGAAGACCAGGCTGGTATCGTCGGAGCCTGTGGCGGCGCGGAGGGGTCGTTGCTGGCGGATAGACACGCAGTTGATCTGTGACGAGTGGCCTGAGATTTCGCCCACGCTGTTGCCGCTGTCTGCCGTGATGCAGTGGCCGAAGCGCTCCTTGCCGTCGCCGACAGCTATGATGCGCTGCGAGTCGCCGTCCCATGCCAAGTCGTTGATGCGGCCTGCGATGATGTGGTAGTCGCCTGCACCGCGTCAGCTCCCTCGCTCTATGTCCTGCTATGCCTCACCCACCTTTTGTAGCTCCTTCACCTGCGCAGTCCCACACCTTGACGGTACCCGAGACATCTCCACTAGCTACGTAGAAGCCCGAGGGCGAGAAGCGGGCGACCGTCGTCTGTGTCGTGTGTTGGGTGTATTGTTTACTAACAGCCGGGTCGTCGATGGAGCGCAGGAAGACGGATTTGCCTGACTACATGTCCAATTAGCTCCGCGAAAGCTTCGGATAGTCGGGAGACTCACGGCATAGGCAATGCGTTCGCCCTTGGGGTCCGAGGAGAGCGGTGTTGCCTGTCCGCGCGTTGTCGAGGGGGACGCAGCCCAGATGGCGTCTGTTCACGGTCAGTAGCTGCTGCGAGAAGCTATCTGGGAGCTCATACCTGATACTAGAGACATTGTGCGCGCAGTTCAAAGGACAGTGAGTAGCAAAGGGTATTGGTTACGTCAATTGCAGAGGATGTCTGCCTGTAGCTGCCAGCGTTGGCGGTGGCCTCTGCGTCGTCACCGCCTACGTTTCAGCGACCAGCCACGAGTCGCGGGGCAGGTGGGGGTGGCTCCTTCATGACAGCTCACCTGGAGGTAGCTACTTCACGTCTTCACATGTTACTCCAGGTACCAGCTCTACATGTCAGCACCCATGATCCGCGTTCCTTTTGCTGATAGTCCAGCTTTGCTGCATGCTTCAGCCAACATCGCATTCCATCATCGAGGCCAGGTCTAGAACGAAATACCGCCGAGATCACTATGCAAATAGCTCCTTCGATCAAGGATACATCCCAGAACCACATGCGCATGCTTGCAACTCACCGCTGACTGCATGGAAATATCTGGTTGCGAATTGAAGAGGCTGGCAGACCAAACAACCTTGGAATGCCCCAGCAGACCCTTGGCGCACGTCATTTCCGCGCGTTGCAAGTCGCGTTGAGATGTCTTCAAGTCTGAACTGATATACAACCACATCCTGCATCATTGACTCTCTGTCTCGCACATCGCCCATTCTGAACGCTATTCGCTTCCCTCGTTCGCTGTCGCGTCGTTCGCTGTACAACGTCATCACCCGGGAACCCGGCATCCGGTAGCCTACATCCTCAACATCATCATCACCATTCTCATTGCGGAAGAGCAAAGACATCAAACACCATCAACATGTGTCTCATGCGGTCTTACGAAACGCGCGGTCGTACCGTCATTGAACCACCTCCCCGACGAGGAAACTACACGTCCCATACACCAGCCGGCGTGATGCGTCTGCCGCGCGAATGGCGCCGGACCTCAGTCGAGAGCTTCAGCGACGACGGCCGCTACGTCGAGTACAGGTTCGTAATAACTTTATGGCACCATTGGTTGTCTGACCCTTACATTATCCAGGCGATCTCGATCTCGTCCCCGTGCTATTGAGTACGTCGAAGAGCCTCGCATACGTGCAAGGAGCCGTGCGAGGAGCCGTGCGAGGAGTGTATCCAGGCGACGCATCAGCGACGTTGAGATTGTCAGGCCAGCAAGGACCAGCTACATTGACCCACGTGGAAGTGGTTATGTGGACGAAAGGGTTACGAGGCGAAGTGTCAGCCGCGTGAGACATTGAGGAGTCACATCTCTGCAGACGAGAGAATGAGGTATGTGTGATCACAGTGCAGAGCAAGGTTGTACATGCTAACATGCACAGTTTTTGAATTGAATATGTACATATGGGATACATAGAAGTTTTGTAATTACGAACGTTTAACTTTCAACAAACCAACAATGCCTGCGGCAAGAAATGTCCCATGTTGCTCACCAACTTCTTGAAGCCTAGCCACTTCGAAGATCATCCCTTCAGGCCTAACACAACAAGCCATCTAATAGCTCAACAGCAATCTATGATGGAAATATTTCGGAAACTCCCATCCGGAGATAAATAATAGTGTACATCCTAGGGCGTAGCAACCCCTGCCGCTAACCGCTTCCGAGCTGCACTCCAAGGTGGGGCGCTATATCCGACTCATAGCTAAACTTCGTCATGAGATTTTGAGTCACGATGAGGGAACGACATACAAGTCTTTGAAAACAACGCTCATTCTCACCAATCTACTCCCCATCCCAAATCCAGATCATGGCATCCAACCCAATGCAACGATGCTGCATCGTCGGCGTAAAGCACTCAGGCACACCACAAGGCCAAATCAAACACATTCACAATAGTACACCTCCAATCCTTACCCCATTAAAACCTCGCCATCTAACCCACACCCCAGTCCGCACATACACCACCTACCCCCCCAACAACCCCTCCCCCTCAAACGCCATCCTCATCATGACCGACGTCCTCGGCATGGACTTCCCCAACACCCAACTCATCGCCGACCAATTCGCGCAAAACGGCTATCTAACCGTCATCCCCGACGTCTTCAACGGGAGCGAAGTGCCGTTTCCGCCTCCGGAGTCGTTTGACTTGCAGGAGTATATCACAACGACGATGCCGAAGACTGATACTGTGGATCCTATGTTTGAGACGGTGATTAAACATTTGAGAGATGAGTTGGGCATCAAGAGGTTGGGCGGTGTGGGATATTGTTTCGGCGGGAAGTACGTATGTCGGTTTTTGAAAGAAGGGGGGTTGGGGAATGGGGGGATTGACGCGGGGTTTACTGCGCATCCGAGTTTTGTGGATGCGGAGGAAGTTAGGGATATTAGGGGTCCGTTGAGTATTGCTGCTGCAGGTATGACTTTCGATTACAAAACTCATTCCATTCATTCCATTCATCAAACCTACTCCAAAAAACCAAACTGTAGAGACAAAAACACAAACAAGAAGAACGCACTAACGATACCAACAACAACGCAGAAACCGATTCAATCTTTCCAGCCGAGAAGCGGCGCGAGACAGAAGATATCCTCAAAGACCACACCGTGCCGTACCAGATGTTCCTGTATTCGGATGTCGAGCATGGGTTTGGTGTTAAAGGGGACTTGTCGCATGCGAAGGCGAGGTTTGCGAAGGAACAGGCTTTTTTGCAGGCGGTGGGGTGGTTGGACGAGTATGTTAAGAAAGCGCCGGGGGTGTAGGGCCTTTTCCGGGGAGATTGGGAAAGTTCGGAAGGGTGTTGTACAGGTATGATATGGGTATTTCGTCGGCCGGGTGTGCGTCTTGGAGGGCGGTGTCGTATTCGTATAGTGTACATCTGAGCCTGGCGATCTCATCCGGTCCATTGAGCTGCCCCGCGCTCTCAGTCGTGTACTTCTCCAGCCAAAAGTCGCCGTTCATCTCGACATCGGTACTAGCATCCGAAGAGTCGCAGTACATCCGCACGAAGTCAACAATCGTGTCGATCAAAGCCAAAACTGCCGAGAGCACCCAGGCGCAGAAGCTGATGGCGAAGTACGTGAAGAGGAACAGGGTTATTAGAAGACAACCCCAGAGATAGCCTGTGAGGATACTGTCGAGTACTTCGTTGGGTTGCGGCATGGATGTCGATCGCCGGAACATGACCGCTTGGTGGGGGAAGAGAGGTGGCATGGTCGTGAGGTAAGACGGCAGAGTAGGTTCGGTTGACTTCTCGGTCGCGAGGCAAGGGTAAAGCGTGCTGACGACAATGTACCGAGTGTAGCAATGTCGGTGGTTGGAGTAAGGCTAGCCGAAGACGATTTACCGTTCGTAGCAATATGAGTACCCAGCAATGGTGGGTGTTGGACCTCGATGGTTGGGGCCTGGGTTTGTTTGTGAGAACATGCGAGATGGCTAGAAGGCTACAGCTGCGCTTGCATCGTCGTCGAGAATCGCACCTTACGATCCATGTCTATCCCTAGACAATCCTCATCTTCAATCAGCGAACAGAAAGTGCTACCCCTGCTTTAAGAGGCATGTGCCAACACACCACTGTCAATCACCGTCTTCATCCCCCGCCCTTCCTCGCTCAACCCTTTGTCTTCCATCTTAACTTTCTCCGCCCACGGCGGCTCACCATCATCATCAAACTCCGCCCACTGAAAAAACCCACAACTCTCCCTCCCCGGCACATAACCCGCATGGCACATCCACATATACCTCCCCCTCGACTCCTTCTTCCTCGTCGCACACCTCAACACAGTCGAAACACCACACTTGCATTTCGGCGTAAACCTCGGATGGAGGCTATCCTTATAGAACCGATACGTGATATTAAGCCGCTTGTTTTTCGCAAGCGGATGAGGATCGATAGCTTGGGCCGGCGCAATCGAGTGCTTCCATTCTTCTTGCATCTCTGCATGCATGACCAGGAGCGAGTTGTGTGGTAAATGAATGCTGATTTGGCCTTGGGCGTCCGCGAGAGAACCGTCGTCTTTTCGGTGCTCGTCGTCTTCGGCGACGGTCTTGCGGACCCGGAATTCGCGCGCTACGCCGAGGCTTAGACTGCCGATGACGGCTCGTGGACCGAGGTAGGTGAGTTGGTCGGCGTGGTATCCGACGCTTTCTTGTGGTCCGTCGTAGCAGTTGACGAAGGCGGTGTTGGCTTTCCAGGGGTGAGGGGATTGGTATTTGAGTTTCTTGCCGTTGGGGTAGAAGTCGCGGATTCTGCGTTGGATTTCGCGGTTGACGGCGTCTTCGACCTGGGGGCATGCGTTGAGCATTTCTGGGAGGCTTTGTCGGACATCCTGGGTGGAATTAGCATCTTGGTGGTGTTTCTTGTCAGCGGTCCTTACCTCGATCTGGCCACCGTTGTAGATGTATTCCGTCTTTTGTCGTTCCGCCTCTTCTAAGCTGTTGACGTAGAAAGAGTACGTGTGTGGGCTTACAACAACTCTGTCGAACAGCTTGAACTCGTACCTGTCGTAGGTCGACGAGGCGTCCAGTAATTGCGAAAGCAGTGCATCCGCTTGCTCTACCGGAAGGAAATTATGTATGATTGAACAAGGCGTATGTACTTCGACGTCTTCTGGGCTATAGAGAAATAGTGTCTTGCCCTTTCTCACAAGTGGCTTCTTGTTCAGGGTTCCATTGGCCGGAGCAATGCGATACGAGCTCAGTGACGATTGATAGCCCACTGTCGATGATGCGGGTCGCTTGCGTGGGAAAGTAACTTGAGGTCGCGACAGACACTCCGAGGCTTGTTCAACGGCCCCCTCAGCGGCGAGCAATGCTTCAAGCAGAGTCCCTTCATCAACTGTAGGATGCAAAGATGCCAGCAAGGCCAACTTGAAATCGGTAGACTCTTCTTCTGGGTCTCTAGCCTCTGAAGGCCGCTTGCCTGTACTCGCCACGGACCTGGGCGGCCCCTCATCCCACTTCCTCTTGCGCGACACGAACGCGTCCATACCGACTGTGGTGGGTTAAAATGGCGCGCATAGTCGCATCAACAAAGTGAAATGGCCTCCTCGACAGTGGCGACTGGCGTAACAGCAGACGCGCTGTCACGGGACAACCTCCGGCGCCACACCAGCCCCGCCAGAACCCAAAGGCGCCTCGGTCAACCGACACCTCGTCATCCGCAACCATGCTGCAGCACAACACCAACTCCACGTCCTGGCGCGACATGACGCGCCGTACCATACCTATCCTCCACGCGCCGTAATCCCAAATCTCACACCCACCTTCACCACCCACGATGCTCGAGTTCCGCACCCAAGGCTTCAACGGCTACTCCGTCAAATACAGCCCCTTCTTCGACTCGCGCATCGCCGTCGCAACATCCGCCAACTTCGGGCTCGTCGGAAACGGACGATTATACATATTAGGCCTTACAGCGAATGGCATCGTAGCCGAGAAATGGTACTTATCCACCCCGTCATTCTCGTACAAGCCACTTGCTTCCCAATCACATGCTAACCCGTCCCCAGGTTCGACACGCAAGACTCACTCTTCGACAGCACGTGGTCCGAAGCGCACGAGAACCAACTCCTCACCGCCGGCGGCGACGGCTCAGTAAAACTCTTCGACATAAACGTGCCCAACTTCCCCATCGCATCCTGGCAAGAGCACGCGCGCGAAGTCTTCGCCGTCCACTGGAACCTCGTGTCCAAAGACACTTTCCTATCCTCATCCTGGGACGGCACAATCAAGATCTGGAACCCAAACTCAGATGCGAGTATAACCACCTTACCGACGCATTCATGTACCTACAGTGCGAGTTTCAGCCCGCACAGTCCGAGTGTACTGAGCAGTGTGAGTAGTGATAGCCATTTGAGGGTTTTTGATTTGAGGACGCCGGCGAGTGCGAGTAATCATCTGACGATGAGTGTGCCGATTCATCAGCCGCCGAAGGCAAGGATGGGACATGCGCCGGGTGTGGGTGTTGCGCCTGCGGAGGCGTTGACGCATGATTGGAATAAATATAGGGATACTATCGTTGCAACCGCGGGGGTGGATCGCGTGATACGCACATTTGATATCAGGATGCCGCAGCAGGGGCCTGTTGCTGTGTTGCCGGGACACGAGTATGCGGTTCGGAAGTTAAGTTGGAGTCCGCATTTGAGCGATATACTGCTTAGTGCGAGTTACGATATGACGTGTCGGGTGTGGACGGATGGGAGTGCTATGGGTGTGGGGAGTGTGAAGCAGGAGAATATGTTGGAGGATCCTATGTTTTATGGTGGGGGTAGAGAGATGGGGAGGATGGGGAGGCATACCGAGTTCGTTACAGGTGTCGATTGGTGTCTGTTTGGCGCGGAGGGCTGGTGTGCTAGTACAGGGTGGGACGAGAGGGTTATGGTATGGGATTGCCGGGCTATCATGCAATGAAATGACGACGTTCCATGCAACACGCGCTCGACACTGAGATATATCTGTTCTCCATTCCCTACAAAAGTAACAATGCTCAGCACGCTACACCGCGAGCTATGATGCCGGCCACCAACTCAACGAGACAACAAGCAAAAGACAGGGTATCATCCCATAGCTACACCCAGACACCGAAATGCAAATCCCACATGCGCCGCCCAAATGCCGAAGCTCACAAACGCCTCCATGCTCCTTCCCTCTATCATTCGCTTTCATGACCCTTCTACAGATTGCCGAGGTTCAGAATATCGTCAAGCGCATCGTCCATCTCTTGCCCGTCTTGAACGCTGTCTCCTTGCCAGTGTACGCCCACTTCATCGTCGATCTGCGTTGGGTCGCCACGTCCATGACCTTCCGATTGGTCTCCGAGGTTCAGAATATCGTCGTCAAGCGCGTAGTCCATCTCCTGCATGTCTTGAACGCTGTCTCCTCGCCGGTGTATGCGCACTTCATCGTCGATCTGCACTGGTTCGCGTTCAAGACCTTCCTATAGATCGCCGAGGTTCAGAATATCGTCAAGCGCATCGTCCATCTCCTGCATATCCTGTACACTACCTCCTTGCCAATGCATACCCACTTCATCATCAATCTGCATCGGGTCGCCAAAGTCAATCGTCCAAGTCTCGCCGTTAAGGTCGTGCTTAATCCCATTTGCAATGCCATTGATACCGTTCGTGATCGCACCATTCGTAAGCGGTTTCGCGGGCGCATTGTAGATGTCCTCGATGCCATGCGTATCCAGAAACCTCGAGTTCATTATGGATCCCGCGATCAGTGGTGTTTGGCCGAGGTACGAGTCTCCGAGTTCCAGCGCGAGTCTCAAGTCCTCCATGCACAGGAGTTTCCGCTTTCGTCGCTCTTCTGCCTCGACGGGGAGTTCGCCGCCGGTTCCTCGGGCCAGCTCGCCGCGGTCTACTAATCTTTCCTCTCGCGCGAGCTTCTTCTTGAATTCGCCTGTGCGCACGTATCCAGGGCCATTGCTGCTCACTTTACCTAGTAAGTTTGCCAGTGCTTCTTTTATGTATGTCTCGGTAGCGATGTTGAGGTAGTCTGGGCAATCGGACGTATGGCCCTGAGGCAGCCCGAACTCGTAGCATATTGGTAGGAGGCGGTAGGATATCGTCGTTGCAGTGGGGAATTCGTGCGTCTCGGCGTAGAGGGCCGAGGTATACCGTTTCCGAATCTCGAGTTCCCAGTCTGAGACAAAGTTGTTAGCATCTCAAGACGTAAAGGAAGGGTATAGCAAATGTCATGCACGTACTCGTCTTTCCAAATCCACCGCCCTGGTTACTGCTCGGCCCAACATCGAGCTGCTTCGCGCGTCTCGCATCAACATACTCCTGCACCGGCCCAGCAGCACCCGCGCCCAAGCCCTCGAGCCCCGTACTCAGCGGGCTCTCGCCTGCCGGTATACCCTTCAGCCGCTTTCTCTCCCTCCGACTCAATTGCATAACCTCGTGTTTCAGTCTCTTTTCGCTCTCGTCCCCTGTCCCCTTGACCGTCCCGCTCGTCGGCTTATCACTACTCGACACCCAACTGGCGATGCCTGCTTCGGGCGGGTCGCGCCATATGTTAGCGTAGATAGCCGTGAAGAGCGCATTGTGCGCGTGTTCCAGGGCGGGCGTGGTGAGGATCTTGGACAGCTTGTGGGACAGCTCCTCCTGGTTGAGGTTGCCGAGGAGAAAGAAAGAGAGGGCTTTCTTGTAGATGGTCCAGTCTGCGTCGCTTATGGAGCCTTTGACTGCGGCGTACAGGGGCTCGACGTCTACACGGGGCGCGCGCGGCGCGTTGGGCTTCTTGGTGAGGTCCGTCTGGAGAGATGTGAGGCTGGGCAGGGTGCCCGACGAGAGCGTCGGCGTGGTGGAGACATTCATGTCATTGGGGCGTATGGTGCCTGCCATGATGGCGGTGGGAGCGCGCCGTGGTGGCGCTCAATGCGTCGTGATGTGCGCGTTGCGAGGTCGTCGCGCGTTGGACAGATGCGCGTGCGGGCTGTGGAGAAGGCTGAGGCGGCGGGAGAGCGACGCCGGGGTCTGCGCGACGCTTCAAGAGTGCCAGCGGGGTCGCACGCGTATGCAATGATGGGCCCCGATGACGGGCAAGGACAGCAGGCGTTGTGCGGGGCCTACGCTGATGGACAAGCATGCAGTCGTGGAGAGCGTGAGGTCAGAGCTCGGGGGTTTGCGGAGTTGATGCTGGGGCAGCCTAACAACTTCCACGAGCCCCATGAAACCTCCACCACATGCACCCTTCCTTTCGGTCACAGAACATTCAATGTAACTTCCATTCGCTATGCACTTATATACTAACATGATCCGTTTTCACATACGCTCCCGTCCCAATGCTAGTGCAGTCGCTTTTATGCCAAGTACACCGTCCCCCATTGTACGGTATCGCTAGTTTTCACCAAACACATCTCCCAACTCCACTTTTCCTACGCTCCAAATCTCTCGCTCGTCTTCCATCTCGTCGCTCGACAAGCCGAGACCGCCTGCTCCACCTTCGGCCTCCTTCCTCTCTCTGGCTTGCCCAGCTAGCCTCATGGCAACCCTCTTGAAGTAGTCGCCCATGCTGCGCTGTTGACCAGCAGACAGGCTCTTGCCAGGTCCAGCCATGTACTTGTCGAACACGGCCGTCTCTTCGTCCACCACCGAGAAGATGGCAAGGAACGCCGCTTCAGCCGACAGCTTGACTGGAATCACCGGATCGCGCACCGATGCGAAGACCACCGGTATGAGGAGCGGGATGTGCGGACGGATCAATTCGTTGTGCTCTCGAGCAACTGTACGAAGCACCACAAGCGCCAACCGCCTCGTGTCGACGGGATGGCCGGGCTCGACTACTGGCGCAAGAGCCTCAAATATTGGCTTGGTATGGTCGAAGCTCTTGCTGCTCTTCTCTGACAGTAGGTATTTGCCAGCGGCGAGGATCGAGTTATCCGAGATGAACGGTTGTGAATGTCCAACACCCTGGCAGATAACATTCACAGTCTCGTCTGCAAACGATTCTGTCAGAGCCTCGGGAGCATCTAGCAGAATGGCATTCAGTGCCAGTACAGAAGATTTGTTGAAGTGAGTCGTAAGCACGCGAGCCTTGAGAAGACTGGACGCGACATCCTCGGGAAGGCAGCTGATGAGGGCCCCCAGAAGTCGAGCGTTTGTAATCGCCATTGCATCTACGCCATGTTAGTCACCAGAGGCAGGATCAGAATCAGTCTAAACTTACCATTAGAATCATCGTTCTCGTTGTCGATGAGACCTAAGATGGCGTTCCTGCTTGCCTCGCTCATGTTCTTGCCTGCCTTGCTTACGACCTCAAACAAGGCCTTCAGCATAGCCGTCTTAACATTCTCATCGCTTGTCTTGGATCCCGTCACCAACTCAGCGATGAGTGGGTCCACCCTTGGTGTAAGCTTGATCAATGTACCAAGAGCCTTGGCTGCTCGCGCTCGCAACACATCCGACGATGTATCCGCAAGCGACTTCGCGAATGTGCGCTGGAGTTGGGGCAAGAAGGGCTTGAGGAAGGTCGGGATCTT